AGAAGAAGAAGAAATTTGCGACGACTACCCAATTTACCCTACAGTGCGACAATCAATGTGCAATTCGTATCACACATCAGCCTGGCTTCGTCAACAGGACGAAGCATATTTCTCTGCGTTATTTTTTCGTCAAGGATGAAGTCGAGAAGGGGAGGATGCGATTGGTCTGGCTTCGACCAACAAAATGGCTGCCGATTTCCTCACGAAGAAGCTGACACGACAGAAGTTTCAGCACTGTAACAAGCTCTGCGGAATCTTCAAGAAGTGACACTATCGAACTTCCAGAAATGAAGGGGAGTGTTGTGATATAATTGATACTTAGTATTTCTGTTAGTCGATTAAGTGTAGTTAATGTCGAATCATACTGTAGAAGATAAGTTCGTAGTATGACGTCAGCAAATAGTGCTCGTCATAGGACAGTCGTTTCAGTCACGCGAACAGTCGCATCTCTTCATTATCATCTAGGGCGCATAGCGCGATAGTGACGAAAAGGTACATTAGTGAATAGGTACTTTTCCTAGAACTATAAATCCTTGTTATGTCTTTTCATTATTAACTTTGATTACTCACAAGTTCACGTACTCAGGTTATTCAACCTTGACCTTTACATTTTACAAGACTTCCGCTGTCTTACTAGTCTACCATTCCAGCAAAGATTCTGGACCAACACTTGAGGATTTGCCAAGTGTTCGTGTCTATAGTTTTATACTTAGTCTCTTACAATATCAGACGATTTATTTCACTACCAACATGCGACCCAGAAAAATTCGGCTAAGTCCCCAAATGCTAGAGACATCCCCCACACACCCCACAACCCATAGAAAATTTCGGCCAAGTTCCTGAACGCTGGAGACACCCCCCACACACCCCACAACATATCGAAAGTCTCGGCTAAGTGGGGTTATCAGACACAGTCTCCCTAACACCCTGACCCCAAACAGCCCAAACTTTTGACTAAGTCATAAACATATATATAACAGATATGAGGGTGAGCTGGGCACGAAGACAAATCTTCCCTAAGGGAAGGGGGGAAGCGAAATGGTGGGGAAGGGGGGAGATCGAAACGGACGGAAAGGGGGAAGCGAAACAGGGGGGGAGGGGGGGATTGAAAATGGAGGGGGAGGGGGGGATCAAATCTAGGGAGAGGGGGCAAGCTGAGTGAATAGAGCGGTGGGAGAAACTTCGCGCCCTTGCAACGCCCCGGTTGAGAGATCTTGGACGTCAATCATTAGCGATCATCGAACGGTGCAAACATGTCCAAACGACAGCAATCGATCGAGGCTGTCGAATATTGATAGACTTTCAATTGGCCATACAGGCAGCTGACGAGAAATTTCCTAAAAGGGGCGAATATTAGAAAATAGTTGTTTCATCTCTCCCCGTCTAGGGTCAAAAACATTTTCATACTAAGGCATCGTCGTCAGTACCCTTAAAAGATCCGCAAATTTTCGTCTCTATTCTTTTTGCTATGGTTGTACTCGTTGGACCCTGAGAAATTCAGACAAGCTCAATCCTGAACTCTCACGTTTCAGAGTACCGATATTTTGGCTGAAGGCCCTGTTATAACTACAATAGGCTCAGATGTGCCTAAAATGAGAGAAATTGTGCAGAGTCAGAATTCCGTCAGACAGCTTCAAATATTGATGCCGGTCTGATGTGTGCCTTAAATGGTGACCTGTAAATTTGATCTGGAGCGCGTTGCTGTCGCCTATCAGCAGCAAGTTGAATCATAAAATTCCATGAAGATTTGACGACGCTATAACGGTTTGACTGGCAGGAGGTACAGCAGCCACTATAGTCTTAGGAGTACAAAAAACTTAGGAAGAAGAATTCGAGGTAGGGATGGTTCCCAGCCTCTACATACCCCAAGAGCCGAGGTCCAAGTTGGTGGTACACCACCACAGAGTCCCCAACCATGAGGAGACTCGAAACAAACCCAACAAGGGGCTACACCTAGTAAAATGTAACACTACTTGAAGTAGCATTACTATTTTCACTAATATTTGTCCACGTCCCTTGGGCTTGAAATCTTGAGTTCTTGGTCTTGGTTCAGCAAGATCAATTCTTTTTGAGATGATGAGGGCTTGCTGCACACACCTGCGATGAGATGGACACTCCACACTCGACAAAATAGAAAAAGCGCATGCGACGCGCAAACGACGACTTGACATGCGAGTTGTGAAAACTCGCTAATGTCTTGACCGACACAAACCACATTGTGATACACCATTCAAACACACACACAAGCACTAGATAGCAATGACATAGACTCACAAGTCATTCCATGCCATGCATGCACACACACAAACAAGGACGACAAGCCGAGCGCAAGCCATAGGGTTGCACCAACAGGTCATGCGCTTTGACGCGGAGGGTCAGCCGGTTGAGTTAGACAGGTGGCTCGTCGACCTCCGCCGTCACCTCACCGGTCAACGTTAGGACGGCCACTCCCTGGCCGTCCACATCGACGGTACGCTTCCCTGCCCTGACCACCCTGCTGCTCTACCCGCTGACCCTTCGTCTGCTGACCATGAGTCCGCTGCCGCTGCTGCCCTTGCCCGTGTTGTCTGGTTGTCACGTAATGCTGTCGCACAACTCACGATTAGTCATGCCCTCCCCCTGTCTGAGCGCCTCCGCTTTAGGTCGGTCATGAGGCTGCCCACCAAGGAGTGAAAACGACGCCTCTCCTCTTCACCAACACTTTCCTCCGCTGGTCCCTTCACACACTTGAACCCCGAGGGTAGAGGATTAGCCACATAACCTTCACTCTTCCCAAAGATTGCAGTCAAGGCCTCCAAGTACTTCTTTTGATGCACTCGCATCCACCGCTTCTCCACATCTCGCTCAATGTGAAGCCCAAGGTAGTAGTTGACGTGTCACATGATCGAATGACTCGAGGAAAGGTTGCACTATCGATCAGTACAATGCGCTTTTATACTTCCAGAGTACATCAGGTAACCAGGTTTATCCTATCCTAAGGGAATAGACCAGTCTAGAAGATAGAATCACCCTGGGTATAGCCACACGAGGCTATTGGCTTTAAGGGATTACGGCAGGATTACGCCAGATAGCGCACCAGTACATCCCAAGCCTAGTCGGTGATATAATTATAATAGCAGGATAAACCAAAGGTTAACGGAAAAATGGAGAATAGGAAACCAAATGAGATGAGATAAAAAGAGAAATGAAAGAGGAAGGAAATAAGGAAAGGGACAAGTGGTGTAACGGGGCCGTACTCTCACACTTCCCCCCCTTAAAGCTGGGTTGTAGATTTAACACCCTGCTTCACAAGGTAGTCATGCAGAGGACGACGGGCGTTACCCATGTCGGACTCAGGTACCCAGCTGTCCTCAGAAGGATCATAACCCTTCCAGCGGATGTGAAGCTCTGCGGTGCCATTCCGACGTCGACGGTGTGCAAGCACGGACTCGACCTCGTACTCGGGTTCAGTCTGGACGAGGATGGGTGGCGGCGGCGGCGGTTGGCGTCCGACGAAGATCGTGTTCGGATCCCGATAGGGCTTTAGAAGTTGGACATGGAAGGCGTTGTGAATCTTTCAAATGGCTGGCAGACGCAAGCGGAAGGTAACAGGAGTAACCTGTGCTTCGACAAGAAAAGGCCCGCAGAAGCGAGGTCGCAGTTTAGACGGGAGGTGGCTGATGTCCAGGTTGCGGGCGTCAAGAAGCACCTGGTCTCCCACTGTGATGGTGTGGTCGTTGCGATGGCGATCGGCCTGGCGCTTTTGTTGCTGCTGAATGTCGAGGAGGCGCTTGTGGGTCCGATCCCAAAGCTGATGCATGGTTGTGATGAAATCATGTGCAGGTTGTACTGTAGCGGATGTGGTCGGTTTCTGTGGTGTGAGTGGGTGGCGTCCGTAGCAGAGGAAGAACGGCGTCTGTCCAGTAGCGGCATGTGTAGCGTTGTTGTAAGCAAACTCCAGAACGGGCAGGTGCAGGTCCCATTTGGAAATCTCGTCCTTGCAGGCTGCTCGGAGGAGTTCTTCAACAATTTGGTTGAGGCGTTCGGTTTGTCCGTCTGTCTGCGGATGATAAGCGGATGACATGGCGAGTTTGGTCCCGAGGAGAGACATAAGTTCCTTCTAGAACTTGCTGGTGAACTTGGGGTCTCGGTCGGAGATGAGTGTGGTTGGGATGCCATGCTGTGAGATGATGTGACGAACGAAGAGTTGTGCTGTCTCCTCGGTGCGTGCCGTCGTGTGTGTCGGGATGAATTGTCCCATTTTGGAGAACTTGTCGATGACGACAAGGATTGCGTCGTGACCACTGGTGGTAGGTGGTAACACGGTGATGAAGTTGAGGCTGACCACTTGCCATGGCTGTTCTGGGACAGGAAGAGGCTGCAGTAGTCCCGCCTTTTTCTGCTTGCTGCTCTTCATCCGCTGACATGTATCACACGAGGTGACGAATTTCTGTACGTCATCTACCATGTGGGGCCAGTAGTAGTGTTTGGCGATACCGGTGAGCGTCTTGTTGCTACCAAAGTGTCCCGCGTATACGACGTCAAGGTATTCTTCGAGTAGTAACTGGCGCAAAGGAGGGTAATTGGGTACCCAGATTTTTGCTGATCCTTTCCGGTACGCGATGTCACTGTCCCACTGTATCAGATGTCATTTTCCAGCCAAGGGGATTTCTGGGTCGATGGCGTACCATTGTGTGAAGATTCCCTTGAGTAGTGGATTCATCCCTTCAATTTGAATAGCGGCAATGTGCGCAGGCCGGCTAAGAGCGTCTGCTTTGTTTTTGTGGTCGGGCTTGTACACGATGTCGTAGTGGAAGTGTGTCTCGAGGAAGTCGATCCACCGGACCTGCCGCCTGGAAAGGTTGGGTTGTGTCTTCAAGTATTTCAGGCTGCAGTGGTCGGTGTAGACAGTTGTTCGCCGTCCTTCGAGATAACATCTCCATGCTTTGAAAGCGATGACAATGGCAACGGCCTCTTTGTCGTGTATCGGGTAGTTTAGTTCTGCTCCATGTAGTTTCTTGCTGAGGTAGGCGATTGGTTGTAGTCCATTCCCCTGGTCTTGCATTAAGACTGCTCCCACTGCCTGGTCGCTGGCGTCAGCTTCGATTACGTAGTCGCGTTCGGGATCTGGCAAGATGAGTACCGGGGCGGTCGTGAAAGCTTGTTTCAGCTGCTCCACGGCTTCCTGGTGCTTCGATTCCCATTTGTAGGGCATGTTCTTCTTCAGCAGATTCATGAGTGGTGCTGCTAGTTTCGCATACTGTGGCACAAACCTGTTGTAATAATTCGCGAAGCCTAGGAACTGCTGCAACTCCTTCACATTCTCGGGTGTCTTCCACGTACGTACGGCTTCGATTTTCTTGGGGTCGACGTGAACTCCTTGAGCGCTCACCATGTGTCATAGGAACTGGACCTTCTTGTTAAGAGCTCGGTAGTCGATGCACATGCGCAAGCTTCCGTCCGGTTTCGGTGTGAAGAGTACTGGGGCAGTGCATGGTGAAGTGGATGGTCGGATGAGTCCTTTGGCTTGGAGATACTCGATCTGTTTTTTCATGTCGGTCAGCTCCGTAGGGCTGAGCCGATATAGTGCTCGGAAGGTCGGCTTCGAACCCGGTTCCTCCACGATCTCGTGTTGATGCGTTCGGTAGGGCGGTAGCTCGTTTGGAAGATCGTCAAGAAGAATGTCTTGGAACTCCTTCAGTAAGTCCTTGATTTTTTCTGGAGGTTCTGAGGCTTTCTCTCCGTCATTCTCCACCTCTGTTGCTATCGCTAGGAACCCGGTGTTGGTTCTCTTCACGTCCTTCTCGAATATGGCGAGGGTCTCCTCTGGGATATCTCCTGTACCGTCCCAGTTGGGTAGCTGTACTCTCCGTCCATTGTTGTAGATGTTTGCGGTGCGGTTCACCCAGTTGATCTCGGGGTTGAATCGTTTTAGGAAGTCTCGCCCGAAGATCAAGTCAAGCCCTTTGATGTTGGTGATGGGGAGTGCAGGTCTCCAGCGCAGTGGTCCGATTTGTAGGTGTAGCACTGCTTCGCCGTGTACTGGTAACTTGCTTCCGTCCACCATCGTTGCAGAGAATCCTGAAGGCTTGTACTCTTCCCGAAGTTGGTCGATTACTGCCTTGTTGCAGACGGTGTGTGATGCTCCGCTGTCCACGAGTGCTTGGAGGCGTCGTCCTTTGCAGATGACCTCGAGCACGAGGGGCAGTCGTTGCTCGGAGTACCCAAAGAAAGTCTCATTGATTGGGTCATAGGGTACATCCCAATATTCCGTACACACCTTTGTGTTACTATCTACTCCTGAGCTGGCAGCTGGCTGAGGCTGCTTGGAGAACGGCTCTTCTCCAGGGCCCGGAGTTTCTTTGACGACTGTGCGCGTCATTGATGCCGAAGAACTGGATGCATCCATAGGAGGAGTTTGGGGTTTGTGCGGCTTCTTGTAGACCCCCTGCTTCCTCTTGAGCTGTTTCAGCTCCACCGACGTCTTCCCTGGGGAACGGGTAGTCGTTGTGGGCTGGTGTCGGGAGAGGACGTTGAATCCGTGGAAAGGTCGGCTTCTTTCCACACTCCTTAATTTGGTCCCCAAGTTCTCCGGTACCGGTATAATCTCCACAGCTGTCTGCTTCTTTTTGAGTCCCTCCCGAAATTTCTCCAAGGCTCTAGCTCCTCGAAAATCATAAGTTTTCATTAAAGCATCTTTATAAGATAACTTTAACGAATCCTTATAATTTCTCGGGTCTTCAAGGAGTTTCCCTGTCTCGGCAGAGTCTTTTTTCGCGGAGTCGTATTTTTCCTCGGCGATTTTCCCTGGCGAAGACTGGTCGTGGGGTGGAGATTTTCCCCCATCATTTCCTCCTTCTCGCGTCGAATCAGCTTCGTCGAAGTTGATTTTCTCGGAATCCCGCGGCCGCTTCCGGATCTTTTCTTTTTCGCCAGCTAGATCCGCAATCATTGGCGAGTCCCATTTTTTAGCTTTTGATTGGACGAAGGATTTCCGCCACTGTTGCATGCCCGATACTCTGCGCGTGCGGTTTTCATTTTGTTGTAGTCGAAGATTCGATGACCCGGCACCCCGCAAAAATCACACGTGTAGTTGGTGTTTATCGGACGTGGCCGCCCCTCCAATCTGTCGACTTCCATCGGGTCGGCGAACGTGGGGTGAGCCGAGCGGTCGCCCTGTCGCGTACTGCCGACGTGCGTCCGTCGTGTCCCGTCGTTGACCATGTCGAAGCGCTACGCGGCCGATACGACGTCACTGTAGCTCGCGTAGTTTGACGCTGCCACTTGTCGTTTGACTTCGGTCTTCAGCCCGACGAGGTACGACTGTACTTTTTCCCCTTCGTTCAAGTTGGGAATGCGGTTATAAAATTCCTCCATCTGCTGCGTGTACTGTGCTACACTCCCGAACTGTCAGTTTCGATGAATTTTTTCCCAGACAAGGAAACTCGAATTTATCGGCTCGTATCGTTTCAGCAGGTCGGCGCAAAACTGCTGCCACGTGGCTTCACCGTGGATGAAGGTATTGTTGCCGCCAATCCACTCGAGTGCCGGCCCTTGCATCAGTGTCGCCGCGAGTCATACGCGTTGACCGTCCCAGCCTGGCGAGCTCCATCCGACGGCTGCGAAGTAGATCTCCATGCCGGCGATCCATCTGCGGGCGTCGGAGTTTCGATCGCTCGGATCGAACGGCTCAGGTGGGCGCGGTTTTGGAGCCTCGAGAAACTGTTGCGACTGCTGCGTCGTCGCCGTTGTCGAGTCGTGCTGCGCTCCGGCGAGTCGAGTTACTCGCTCGAACTCGTTTCGCCATGCTTCGCGATCCGCTCGCATCTCCTCCTAAAGGGTTGCGATGCGCGCGAAGAGCTGCTGGGTAACCTCGGCGTTGTCGAGGTTCGCCATCCTGTTCAAAAACACGCGCGGAGGGGGTAATTCGGAAAAACGCGGAGCTAGTGCTTACCAGAATCGGCGTCGAATTGGTCGCCCCCGACGGTTTTTCGAGGCAGGATCCCCGCTGCTGCTGCTTAGCTGAGCGCGGCCGAGTGAGAAAAGCTCTGATTACCAAGTGTCACAGGATCGAATGACTCGAGGAAAGGTTGCACTATCGATCAGTACAAGGTGCTTTTATACTTCCAGAGTACATCAGGTAACCAGGTTTATCCTATCCTAAGGAAATAGACCCTTCTAGAAGATAGAATCACCCTGCGTATAGCCACGCGAGGCTATTGGCTTTAAGGGATTACGGCAGGATTATGCCAGATAGCGCACCAGTACATCCCAAGCCTGGTCGGTGATATAATTATAATAGCAGGATAAACCAAAGGTTAACGGAAAAATGGAGAATAGGAAACCAAATGAGATAAGATAAAAAGAGAAATGAAAGAGGAAGGAAATAAGGAAAGGGACAAGTGGTGTAACGGGGTCGTACTCTCACATGACATAACCAAGGGTCTTGCACTTGAACTTGTCTTGAAGCTTCAGCATCACCTCCTTCACGAGGTCAGAGGAGGGTGAGAATATAAGGATTTCATCCTCATAAACCACCATGAAGCTCCTCTGCTCCCCCTCGCCAAGCATGAACAAGGATTGATCGCCCGTTGAGGGAGTGAAGCCGATCGCCTTCAAGACTTCCCGCAGCTTGATGTACCATCGCCTAGGGGCTTGCTTGAGGCCATAGAGTGCTTTCTTCAGCTTCCACACTCTGCCACTCCCATCATTGTACCCCTCTGGCTGCTCCATGTAGGTCCCTTCCTCCAAAACTTCGTTGAGGAAGGTCGTTACAATATCCATTTGCTTCACCACCCATCCTTTGATGGCCGCCGCGGCGAAGAGAGTTCGAAGGGTTGTACCCTTAACCACAGGGGCATATACTTCATTGTAGTCCTTCTTCTCCTGCTGCTGGTATCCCTTGGCTACAAGTCTGCTCTTGTAGCGCTCGATGTTGCCGTCGGCGTCGGTCTTGCGCTTGAAGATCCACTTGGAAGAGATCGCCTTCCGCCTCGGAGGTAGATTCACCAAGTCAAATGTGTCGTTCTCTATGATGCTCCCCATTTCTTCATCTGAGGCCTTCTTCCACTCCTTCCCATTGGGGCCCTCCCAAGCCTCCTTGGGATTTGTAGGCTCCCCCGGCATCTCCACCGGAGAGAAGAAGGCAAAAGCGCACTCCTCGCTTTCATCTTCCGCATCATCGCCTAGCATGAGAGCCAAACCGGTCAAGATTGAGTTGGCTGGTCTTCCAAGCCGATCATAGCTCAACCTATTGGGGGGCTGAGTCTTCCTTCTACCCCTTCCTTCCTCCTCTGCTGTAGGGACTTGAATGCTCTCATGGCGTTGCAGTAAATCTGGTCGGTTCCCGCGAGCACTTGTAGAACGAGACGGAAGTGACGATGCATGCTCTTCATCTTGCTGGACCTCCTCCTCCGCTTCTCCCCCATTCATTTGAGGATATTGCCTGATGATTGTGCCGCTGCTACTCATATCCAAAGGTAGCTCCACATGCTCCAGGTCGGTACTCTTTACCTCTCCAAGCCGGTAATCTTCGCTTGGTTCTCCACCTTCCACTCCTTGTACGGTAAGTTCTCCATGAACTTGCAATCTCTGCTCACCAAGAACTTCTTGGTAAATGGGTTCCAAAGAAACCATCCCTTGCTGTTTTGAGCCATGCCCAGGTGCACGGCCCATGTTGCCTTGGCATCAAGCTTGTTGTGCCGACGTTTCTTAGGCACAAGGTCCATGCACATGCACCCGAACACCTGAAGCATATCCACCTTCGGCTTCCTTCCAATCCACTCTACATAGGGCACCCATTTGTTTTCTCCCACATGAGTCAAGGCACTGTTCTTGGCCACACAAGCATGGCGCACCGCATCCGGCCAAAAGTAATTGGGTAGACCGGCTTCAATGAGAAGTCCCCGAGCTGTCTCCGTGAGTGTCCAATTCGCACGCTCGGCGATGCCGTTCATTGCAGGAGAGTAGGGCATGGTGAGAGAGTGCCTCATGCCCTGCTTCTTCAGCCAACTTGAGAAGTCCTAGCTCAGGAACTCTCCCCCACGGTCTGTGCGAATCGCCTTCACAAGCCGGCCTTGTTGCCGCTCCACCATCGGCAACCAGTCGGTCTTCACAGTTTCAGCTACGTCACTCTTCTTGGTAAGCACATACACCCAAGTCATGCGAGTGTAGACGTCCACAATGGTGAGGAAGTACTCTGCTCCAGCAGCTCCAAGCTTCAAGGGGCCCACCATATCCATCACCACCTCATCGAATGGTGCCTTCGCCGTTGTCTCCGAGCTATGGAACGGGTAGCGGGTGAACTTGGCTTGCATGCAGGTTAGACAGCCAAGCACCCCATTGGGCTCCCCCTTGATACGTATCCCACTGACCATCTCTTGCGTAACTATCTGCTGCAAAATGGACGATGCCACATGTCTCATTCGCCGATGCAAGGTCAGCCAATCACACTCTCCCGTAGCGGAAGTCGGGTTGGAGAAAGCGGCACTCGCAATTGTGCCCCACAAGCTCTCTCCTTTCTCCTTTTCCGCTGCTGCTTTACTGATCTTAGCCTTCTTCTCCTCATTTCCACCACCTTTGGCTGCTGCACCACTCTCCTTGGTTTCACACGCCTTGCTGGTCTCTCCAAGGTTGCACTCCTTCAAGTCACTCTTGGTGTCACTTTGTTTTCCGTGATCACCGCCACCAACCGCTTCACTCTTGGTGCTGACGCTTGCTGCCAATTGCCTCCCCTTAGGCATGGGGACCACTAGGATTTGCCACATCTCATTGTAGATGTCCCTGTCCTCATGAAGGTCCCAAAGCTTCCGCTCACCAAGCCTCGCGGTATATGTTTTGGATCCCTTGGAAGATATGTCCATGGCGGCCTTTTGCAAACGCCGCACAGAAATCAGGTTGGATGCGAGGCTGGGCACCCAAAGCACATTCTTGACGCCCACCATCTTCCCATCAGCACCCTTGAATATGGCCTTGCCCATGTCTTTCACCTCTGCTCGCTGCCCCAATGTCGATGTAACATGCTTCACCGGCGATGGTTCGAGCTTGGTGAGCAAGTCCGCACGAGGTGTCATGCTATAGGTGGCGCCACTATCGATCACCCAAAAGTCTTGAGAGTGAAGGGTGACCTTTCCCACAGTAGCTGGCTCCTCAAAGCCTTCTACACCTCCTGCTGCAGCTGCCGCTTGCGTGGAGACAAAGAAGAATTGGCCCGGGTATCGATCTTCACTCGGGCCCGTCTTGTAGTCTCCACCTTTCATGCTTGCCGCTTCGCTTCCATGACCACCACGGCCTCCACGACCTCTGCCTCTTCCTCCCCTTGCTCCTCTGCCCTCTTGACCTTGAGAAGGGGTCCATCCATTAGGCAATCTGAAGCAATCTCTCCACATGTGGCCGGTCTTGTGGCAAAAGTGACATTCGCCATCAAATCTACCGCGCCCACGCCGGTAGCCATTGTTATTGTTGTTGCTGCCATATCCTCCGTTGTTGTTGTTCCACGGACCCGCCACTTCGCAACGGCGGAAATCTTCTTGTAAGATTTCCTGCTTCACATCTTCGAGTGAGAGACAGGGCAGATCTCGATTTAGGTTGATGATGAGTGAGGACCCATGAGTCTGGAAGTAAGGCCATCAGCTTGGTCTTCTTTTGGAAGTCACTGTATTTCAGGTCAGCTCCTTCGAGCCGTGTCAACAAGTCGAAGAATTTCTGCACTCCTTCCTCCACCAGTTCGCCTTCGTCAATTCGAAGTGCCGCCATTTGCCGCTCCTAAACCACAGCCACTGCCGCTGTTGCAGGAGCGTGTACACCCTTGAGAGCAGCCCATGCCTTTGGTCCCTTTGCTGGTTCACGCTAAAAAGGCTTGATGTGACGGACTTGGCTGCTCCCCAACGCTTGCCCAAGTAGAAGGTAGCCTTGTGCGCTCTTCCGCAACCACGGGCTCTTCTCCGGGTCGTTCTCGGGGCGCTTCTCCGTTCCTTCCATCACCTCCAGCAGATCATAGTGGTCAAAGATGTTCTCCATCTTGAAGGACCACTCAGCAAAGTTGTCACCGTTGAACTTGTCAAGGCCAAACACTCTAGGCTCATCCCTAGAGGGGCCAAGGATAGGTTGCACAGGAGCAACGGGTGGAACTTGGTGTTGACGTTGTGCTTGGGCGTCTTCTCTGCCTCCAGCACCTCTGCCACCCCCTTCCTCAGTTCTAGGCATGGTCGAAATGGCTCCAAGGGGCTCTGATACCCCTTTTTATAACCACAATAGGCTCAGATGTGCCTTAAATGAGAGAAATTGTGCATAGTCAGAATTCCGTCAGACAGCTTCAAATATTGATGCCGATCTGATGTATGCCTTAAACGGTAATCTGTAGATTGGATCTGGAGCGCGTTGCTGTTGCCTATCAGCAGCAATTTGAATCATAACATTCCATGAAGATTTGACGAAGCTATGGCGGTTTGACTGGCAGAAGGTACAGCAGCCACTATAGTCTTAGGAGTAAAAAAAACTTAGGAAGAAGAATTCGAGGTAGGGATGGTTCCCAGCCTCTACATACCCCAAGAGCCGCGGTCCAAGTTGGTGGTACACCACCACAGAGTCCCCAACCATGAGGAGACTCGAAACAAACCCAACAAGGGGCTACACCAAGTGAAATATAACACTACTTGAAGTAGAATTACTCTTTTCACTATTTTAATATTTGTCCACGTCCCTTGGGCTTGAAATCTTGAGTTCTTGGTCTTGGTTCAGCAAGATCAATTCTTTTTGAGATGATGAGGACTTGCTGCACACACCTGCAATGAGATGGACACTTCACACTCGACAAAATAGAGAAAGCACATGCGACGCGCAAACGACGACTGGAGATGCGAGTTGTGAAAACTCGCTAATGTCTTGACCGACACAAACCATATTGTGATACACCATTTAAACACACACACAAGCACTAGATAGCTATGACATAGAATCACAAGTCATTACATGCCATGCATGCACATACACACAAACATGGACGACAAGCCGAGTGCAAGCCATAGGGTTGCACCAACAGGCCCTTCATTTTCATTTTAATTTATATATATAAATATATGTATATATATATATATATATATTCAAGGGGGTTGGCTAAGGGTGCCCATTTTTGAAACATCAACCTTGGCCACAAGGCAAGTCAATATAATATAAGAGGAGGTTTACATCAGGGCCCTAACAAGTAAGAAGCTACTGGAACTAGACCAAGCTGTACACAGTGCCGCTGATGATCTTTAGGCGCAAGTGCCTTCGTAAAGATATTAGCTGTGTTGGCACCGGAGGCCAAGTGTACTACGCGGGCCTGGCGGCGCTGCTGTAGCTTGCGCAGGAAGAAGTACCGCAGCTGAATGTGCTTCGTTCTGCCCTCCAGTTGAGTCTCGTGACACAGGAGGATCATGGCCCTGTTGTCAGCGTACAGAACTGGGGCAGAGCTAGGCCGCTCACCTAAGTTTGTGAGCAAGAAAGTCAGCCAGTGGAGCTCCTGTGCCGCCATGGAACCAGCGTAGATCTCAGCCTTACAGCTAGACTATGCAGCACACAACGAGCGAGTGGACCTCAACGAGATGACGCCTGCACCAGGGCTAAAGCACTAGCCCTTGGGAGGACCTGAGCTTCTCAGCGTTGTCTGTGCCCTGTACGGACCACAGGCATGCGTCTTTCTAGCACTAGCCTCATGCCCGATGTACTTGCTAGATAACGCAAACCCTCTTAGCGGGTGACCTGTACTGTGGTCGGTGTCTGCCTGTGGCCACAAAGCGAGCCAGGATGCTAAGAGTGTATGCGAGATCTGGACGAGTGCAAGTCATCAAGTACATGTAGCAACCCACCAGCTCTGACTCCTCATGGACTGGAGCTGAGAGCTTGTGATCTACTGGCAGAGGTGTGCGCTGTGCGGAGGAAAACTGAAAACCGATTCTCTGAAGGACCTGGCCACCGGCCATCGACTACGTTCACCCCAGATGGGGGAACTACGTCAACGTAGGTACCGGTTGACCTCCAAGATGCCATCTCTGCGTCCATGGCAGCTATCCACCGAGAGGCTCGGGGTCCCGAGGTCGCCTCAGCGTAAGTGGGAGGGGTCGGGATGCCAAGGGCGTCTGGGTCACCCTCAGGGACTAGCAACATGGAGTAGAGATGAGGCGGGCCTCGTACACGAAAGCTAGCTCATACCGCCGGTCCTCCATGACGTCACTACCAAGGGCAGTAGCACCCCCGACGGACGGAGGATGGGCAGGGTCACAGACCAGAGGGGTGGCGTAGTCAAGGCGGCGGGTAGAGGCAAAGTCAGCGATGGTTGCGAGAAGAGCGTCAAGACAGGAGACAGGAACTGACGGGTCTGTAACAAGAGAGGCGAGGAAATGAGAAACAAGGGGACTAGCTGTATGGAGGAAGTCAAGCAGGGGAGGCGGAGCAACAACCGGCGACGACGGAGGAGGCGACGGGAGGAGGGGAGGACGAGACGCATGAGAATGAAGCAACACAGGGTGAGAGCGCTGGACAGGAGACATGGGACAAGCACGAGAGGGACGGCAAGACCAGAAGTGGGACGAGGGCATCGGGTCAGGAGACATACAGTGGCGGAATAAATTGTCCACATGTTCAGCCTTTTTTGGGATTTTGATAAATGCAGCGATGTAAACATTAAGCCTTAATGTATGGTGTGCATACACGCTGAGAAGTTCAATTAGAGCACTCACTCGTGTTGACAAACACCAAAGTAGTACCACACATGGTCCTTAAACACCTAAGCATAGCATAGGATAACATCCGGACAATTTGTACCGAAAACTGGTAGCATACTAGATTCTGTGAAAACTAGTACCTAGTCCAGCGTCCCTTTGCCCGAATCACTGCCTTGATCCTCCTCGGCAGGCTGTCGATCAGGTTTGCACACACCTCTGCCGGTAGCTTGTCCCATTCCTCCTGCACCCTCTCCCACAGCTCCAGCATTCCACTTGGCGGCTTTTCGTACTTCCCCAGCTGCCTTTTCAAGTGTGCCCACAGGTGCTCAATCGGGTTAAGGTCCGGGGAGCACGACGGCCATTCCAGCACTGCGTACTCCTGCTCCCCAAGCCACTCTTGGACCAGACGAGACCTGTGCTTGGGATCATTGTCGTGCTCGAAAATGACCTCTGAGGGGGAAAGCTTGAAAAAATCGATGGTCTGTTTGAGCTCATCTTGCAAGATGCTGCTGTTGTGTGATGTCATCATATGCTATCACATTCTGTCTGCCTCCCATCCCATGTTTTCAACTTGCATGTGTGGTTTGAATGTGAAAGAATTTGTGTGTGGTGTGTTCTGGAGTTTGGGAATGTGTTCTGTGTTATTTTTGTTTGAGCAGGTATTTTGATGATAGATCTTGAGAAGATCTTTCCGACGCAACAAGAATCGCTTCAATCGGAGCAAGAACGCGAAAGCTATGAAGATTCAAAGTTCATGAGCTTGCGTTACAATTGCGGCGGTTACAAAGTGAAGTTGTGGGGTGACTCTATATGGAGTTGGGACCTTTGGGGTTGGGGAAATTTGTCACTCTACTGTAACAGCTGCAAATTGGTTGGGAACAACCAAGCTAGGTTGGCAAGGGTGGCCAACTTGGATGGATTGGTTGGGAAGGGACAAAGGTCAAAGTTGAGGTTCCTATAGGGAGGGAATCTTTGTGCTTATGGGGTTTCCTTGGTTGGGGACTCTCTTGGGACCTTCCCTCTCGTCCCTCTCTTTCTATCCCAACCTTTCTCTTGCTCCTTCTAATTCCTTGTGAGATTCTTGAACTTTGATTGAACCTTTGAGATTGAGTTAAGTTCTCCTCCTACAGCTTACCCCCTAGTGCGTCGAAAGCCATAGCGTCGCGAATACTTTATCAATCAACATGATTCAAATTGGGAACGGTAGCTGAGATTAAGAGCTACAACATATCCAAGTTTCGCGACATTCCAACGGCTAGTTGTTTGTCGACGTCGTTTCTTGTGAAGACGACTTTTCTGTCCAGAATTTCGGATTTATATTTTGAGTAATTCTAGCTCCTAAGTTCACCTAGACTCCGTCCTTAATCCTAACAAGTGGTATCAGAGCTGTATTAAGGACGTTGAGAGGAGTCTACAGAAGTGTGAAGACCCTTCTAGACCCACCATGGCCTGTGGGTGTGCCTAAGTGGTGTTCTAAAGGTTGGATGTGTCTTCCGCTAAGGGAAACTCTGCCGAAATTTCGTGGACGCCGACACTTGTGAAAATATCGAGGGAGCTGAGTGTGGACAGCAAAGGGGGGCTGAAATTCGTCATTTCTCAAGGAGAAGATGAATGAGAGAGGAGGAGATGCTAATGGAAGAGGAGCTGTAGCTGAGAAGACAAGTGAGCCGCCGCCATCAAAAGTTGAAGCTTTGGATGGCTCCAACTATGAGGAATGGAGCGGACGGATGAGGAGTGCCTTCAAACGCTACAAGCTACTGAAGATTGCTGTTGGGGAAGAGAAGATGCCGGAAGAAGGCGAAGCACGCGAACGGTGGATTGAGAAAAGCGCGGTGCTTTTCGACCTCATCCTTCAATCGGTCAACAAGGAGATGTTCGAGCACATCAAGGATCTTGTGGAAGCGGATGATTCGGGTCCAAGGGCGTGGAAACTACTACGCGATGTGATTCAGCCCAACACTCTCCCGATGGTGATCGTGCTCGAGAAGGAACTTGCTGCCATCTCCATGCGACCAGGGGACGATGTGAAGCCGGTCCTTGACAAGATCAAGGACACCTATGCAAGGATGGCAGCAGCGGGCAGCAGTGTATCTCAGCTGCAGCAGTGCACCAAGATCATCTCGGTGTTGGACAACTCGTGGGATAACCTCATCCCCACCCTCAACTCTCAGCAAGATCAATGGACACCTGAGTGGCTAAGGCAGCAGATTCTGCAGGAGGACTTCCGCAGACGCCATGTGGGAGGCGGTGCTGCCACTAAGACTGCTGAGGGGTATGGAGCTGCAGGGCGCGGCAGAGGAAGAGGGGGTTGGAAAGGCCGAGGCCGTGGGAGAAGCTTTGGCAGAGGTAGAGGCCGAGGTGACTATAATGAGGGGCATGGGAGCTCCAGTGGCAGGGGGAGTACCAGAATGGAGGGCACCTGCTGGTACTGCAAGAAGGTCGGGCATCCTTGGTTCAAGTGCTTCAGCAGGCTGGAGGGATGGTCACCTCCAGGCATGAAGCCGCCAAGTGGTGAACGCGCACAAGGTGGCGCTGTGCAAGGCTCAGGTGCACAAGGTGAAGGTGCACAAGGTAACGCCTATCCTGGGATGTATCTCATGGTTGAGGATGTGCATGGGCATGAGGGTGATGTGGGATCTGTGGGAAAGGTTGTGATGCACCCTCTCACGCACTGGGTGATTGATTCAGGTTGCACCAGTCACATGACCCCACGGGCAGATTTGCTTGATGAGGTAAAACCCCCTGGGAAGATTAAGTATGTGGCAGCAGCGTCAGGTGCTTTGCTCCCCGTGATTGGTGTTGGGAATGCCAAGGTTAAGGGAGCTAATGGGGAGCTTGTGGGGCTTGGGAATGTTCTGCTGGTTAAAGGCTTGTCTGCTAACCTTCTCTCTGTGCGGCGGCTGCAGAAGAGTAAGGCCGAAGTGACCTTTGGACCAACCAGCTGCCGTGCTAAGCTTGGGAAGAAGGTGCTGTGGAGTCTGGAAGAGGAGACCAGCTGCATCAAGGACCTGTGGCAGCTGCCCATCATCCCTTGGAATGGGAAGACTCCAACAGCAGCAACGGCAGCAGTGGCAAAGGCAACAGCAGGAGGAGATGCAACTGCACCAACTGATGGGGTGCTGGAAGCAGTCAAGAAAGTGCAGAAGCAGCAGACACATGGTGAGGTGCTTGCTGGTGTGGATGCGAGTGCGGCATGGGCTAAGGCTTCACCAAGGAGTGGAGAGGCCGATTGGGAGACATGGCATGAGAGGCTGTGTCATGTGAACTTCCCTATGCTGCAGAAGTTGGTGAAGGATGGGAGCCTGAAGGGCTTGGAGGTGAAAGGGGGAGTGAAGGAGATTGGGAGCTGCCCTACATGCTTGGAGACCAAGTTCTCCAAGTTCCCCTTCAACAGCACTACAGGACCAGCCAAGACCCCACTTGCACTTGTGCATATGGATGTGGTGGGGCCCACAAGAGCCCCTTCCCTCTCAGGCAGCCGCTATTTCTTGACAATTGTGGATGACCACACTCGGGCAGTGTGGGTTTACCCTTTGAAGAGCAAGGGGGAGGTGGCAGCGGCTGTCCTTAAGGAGTGGATGCCTAGAGCTCAGAGGGAATGCGGACACAAGGTGAAGGTGATCCGCAGTGACAATGGTGGGGAGTTCATTGGAGCTGATTTTGAGGGGGAGTTGAAGAGGAAGGGGATCCAGCATCAACTGACAGTGCCCTACAACCCGCAGCAGAATGGCGTGGCTGAGAGGTTCAACAGGACCCTGCAGGAGGGGGCACGCACTCTCCTTGGGCGTGCAGGGCTGCCTGATCCGTTTTGGGTGTCTGCACTGAGGCAGGTCGCCCTTGTGAAGAACAGGGTGCTGGCTACAGTTGGAGATAAGGAGTGGATCCCATATGTCAAGTGGTATGGGAGTGCTCCAACTGTGAACATGCTGAGGGCATTTGGGTGCATGGTGGTGTTTCATGTGCCTAAGGAGAAAAGGGGGAAGTTGGAGGCTTCTGGAAGATGGGGTGTGCACTTGGGGATTGCAAAGGATCACAAGGGGTGGCTGCTATGGGACTTGACCACCCAGAAGTTGACACTGTCAAGGGATGTGAAGTTTCTTGAGTCCCTGTACTACAAGGAATGGAAGCAGCAGCAACAGAAGCTTCCATCTACACCGCTCATTGTGGAGGCAGATGAGGTGCAGCAGCCTTCAAGACAGGTGGAGGTTGCAGTGTCAGAGGAGGAGATGTCTGGGGTGACTGAGGAAGGGGGAGCAGCTGAAGTAGAGCAGCAGCAGCAGCAGCAGCATGAGTCTCCATCTCGAGTTCCACACCCGCCTGAGCGACCTAGGAGGGATGTGCGCCCTCCGGTGAGGCTGACCTATGGGGGAAGAGGCAAGCCAAATGTGGTGCAGGCTGGGAGTGTGGTTGAGCAGATTGAGGAAGATGAGATCGCTCACTGCTACTGGGCACCAATCCCTGAGCCCAAGACTCGAGAGGAGGCCTTGAATGGACCAAATGGGGAGAAGTGGAAGGCGAGTGAGGATGAGGAGTTCGGGTCCCTGATTGAAAACGAGACATGGGACCTGTGTGACTTGCCTCCTGGAAAGAAGGCAATCACTTCCAAGATGATCTACAGGCACAAGTATGGACCTGAAGGGGAGCTGACCCGCTACAAGTCTAGGCTTGTGGCACGGGGGTTTCAGCAGACAAAGGGGAAGGACTATGATGAGGTGTTTGCTCCTGTGGGGAAAGGAACAACACTGAGGGTGCTGTTAGCGATAGCTGCACTCCTGGGATGGAAGATACGGCAGATGGACATTGTGACAATGAGTCCGCTGTGAAGCTCGCCAAGAATGCTTGTCTGCATGGGCTGACAAAACACATAAGGCCTAAGTGGCATTGGGTGAGGAGACTCCTTGATAAGGAGGTGCGGCTGGAGATAGTGAAGACCCATCAGCAGGCAGCAGATATTTTCACCAAGCGTCTGGCGGAGGCGGATCATTGGAAGGGCATGAAGCTTGCTGGGATGAGTGTGCATTGAGTATGCATGCTTGAGATGTGGTATGGTGGATGATGGTTGGCAGCCAGAGGGGGAGATTGTTGTGTGATGTCATCATATGCTATCACATTCTGTCTGCCTCCCATCCCATGTTTTCAACTTGCATGTGTGGTTTGAATGTGAAAGAATTTGTGTGTGGTGTGTTCTGGAGTTTGGGAATGTGTTCTGTGTTATTTTTGTTGGAGCAGGTATTTTGATGATAGATCTTGAGAAGATCTTTCCGACGCAACAAGAATCGCTTCAATCGGAGCAAGAACGCGAAAGCTATGAAGATTCAAAGTTCATGAGCTTGCGTTACAATTGCGGCGGTTACAAAGTGAAGTTGTGGGGTGACTCTATATGGAGTTGGGACCTTTGGGGTTGGGGAAATTTGTCACTCTACTGTAACAGCTGCAAATTGGTTGGGAACAACCAAGCTAGGTTGGCAAGGGTGGCCAACTTGGATGGATTGGTTGGGAAGGGACAAAGGTCAAAGTTGAGGTTCCTATAGGGAGGGAATCTTTGTGCTTATGGGGTTTCCTTGGTTGGGGACTCTCTTGGGACCTTCCCTCTCGTCCCTCTCTTTCTATCCCAACCTTTCTCTTGCTCCTTCTAATTCCTTGTGAGATTCTTGAACTTTGATTGAACCTTTGAGATTGAGTTAAGTTCTCCTCCTACAGCTTACCCCCTAGTGCGTCGAAAGCCATAGCGTCGCGAATACTTTATCAATCAACATGATTCAAATTGGGAACGGTAGCTGAGATTAAGAGCTACAACATATCCAAGTTTCGCGACATTCCAACGGCTAGTTGTTTGTCGACGTCGTTTCTTGTGAAGACGACTTTTCTGTCCAGAATTTCGGATTTATATTTTGAGTAATTCTAGCTCCTAAGTTCACCTAGACTCCGTCCTTAATCCTAACAGCTGCGATACAGCGGCCCATCCATCCTGCTATCTATCTTGCACATGAACCCCGCCCCCTCATACGTCATGCAACCCCACACCATCACAGAACCGCCCCCATGCTTAACTGTTTGTTGGACTTGATGGCTCCGAAGGCTTGTGCCCTCGCGAATCCAGGCGTACGCACGTCCGTCGGAGCAGTAGCGGTTTATCTTTGTCTCGTCAGACCAAATCACTTGCTTCCAGTCCTCCAGCGTCCAGTCGGCATGCGACCGCGCGAAGTCGAGATGATCTCGGATGTTTTTCGGTGAGAGCCTGGGTTTCTTGGGCTGATGCACGGCGATCAGCCCCGCGGATCGTAATGAGTTCCGTACCGTCTTCGAGTCTACGGCGAGATCGTGCTTCTCCTACAACATATATGCCGCGTCTACAGAGCTTTTCGCCTCGCCGCTTGTAATCGCGCGTATTATTCAGCGCTGGAGACGGGTAGTGATTAAGCGGGGGCGGCCGGCCGTAGGCATCGTAGGTCGCACCTCCTCGCGACTAGTCTCGGCAGCCACTTTCAAACCGTAATCGTGCACGGTGCTCTTGCCTATGCCAAGAACTTTGCCTATTTTCCTAGTCGAATGGCCCGCACGCAACATGCTTATGATTCGCGCGCGCTTCCGCTCATTTAACGGCTTCATGGCGATGCGGTCGTCGGCTCGCTCTCGGACTAACTCCTAAGCCAGCAACTATTGCGCGTGACGATGTACACACCGAGTGACGGGGGAAAATATATCTACTCTTCCGCTCGGTAGGAAATGTCCGCGTCGATAGTCGAGGAGTAAATTTCAACCCCACTTTCCGGTTGTGTCACAATCGCGCCAAGCAAGAAACGGTTGAAGCAGAACTCGAACACCTTGTAACGGAATGGCAAAAAACAGGTGTTACTATTTTCGAAACATGTGTGGCATAGCGATATGTTTCAAAGTGTTAAACATCCGGGCAATTTATTCCGCCACTGTAGGAGGAGACACAGGAGGAGAACGCAGAGGGAAATGAGCTAGAGACGAGTCCGGTAGAGGAAATTCAGTACCGTGGACAATCGAGGGAGGCGGAGATGGGTGGACAGGGGGGGGGAAGACCGATGAGGTGAAGGGCGGACATCGGTGGTGACTACAGCTGCTGCTCCACACCGACACTAGAACCTCTAGCTACACGACTGCGACCACCGAGACGCTCCACGACAGCACCCCCAAAAAAAGAACCCTCTCCAGCACCAAGGCCACCCCCCAGGACCGCTGGGACAACCATGACAATACCCCCAGGACTAGCACCCTTCTCAACGCCCACACCCCTAGAGCTTGCGGACCCCTGCGGCGGAGATGATGGCTGCTGCGGCGGCTGCGACGGCAGAGATGGCTGCTGCTGCTGCAGCAGCGACAGTGGCTGGCGGAGGAGGAGGAGACACCAGGGAGGCGGCGAAACCAAAGCCGCAGGTCCCCCGGAGTTTGCCGTCTCCTCCAGCGAGACAACCGACGGGAGGGGAGTGACGTGAGACACACAAGATGGGGCATGACGGGGAGGAAGAGGAGCAGGGGCTACCGGGGGAGTGGGGACCAAGAACAGGGGCGGGGCAACCGGGAGACCTCAGTCGGGAAAGCAGGTGTAGAAGGAGACAAGTTCGTCAAAGGTGACATCACGTCAACAGTGAAAGAAGCGGTGAGATGGCGGGTGGTAAAATTGCCAGTCAGACACGTCGAGTGGAAATTCAAGGAAGACACTGGGGACAGTGCGAGCAGTGAGCTTGTCCGTGCCAGAGGCACGAACGTGAGCAAGGCAGCCCTAGACGTGGAACGCAGATGCGTCACCAGGGAACCCGGTCAAGAGGAGGGTCGGCGAAACTTGCAGCCGCTGGGAGAGCGGCAACAGGTTAAGCTGGTGAGCGGCCTAGCAAACAGCGAACGGCCACATAAAATGGGGTGCACCAACATGGATCAGGGAGGTATGAGCCACCTTCATGGCCAAACTGATGCATCGCTCAGCGACCCCATTCTGCTAAGGGGAGTCTGATGGGGTGTACGAATGGGAGATGTCCTCCGCACGACAGAACTGGCCAAGCAGACCGGAGGCAAACTCGCCGCCACGATCAGAGTGATGACGCAGCATAGGGAGGCCGCGGTGGACGCGCACAGCTACAACCTACAGGATAAGAACGTCAGGCACGTCGGCCTTATGCTCCAGGGGAAATACTGTGGTGTAGCGCGTGTAATCTTTGATAAGCACTAGAAAGTAGCGCTCTCGACGCGGCTGAGGGACGGGGGCTGGGCCCCAAATGACCAGGTGCAGGGTCTGGAGTGGCGTAATGGTAGGGGGAAGTGAGGAGGAGTGAGGAGCACAGCGCACCCGGCCCTCGACACAGGGCGTGCACGGCGTGCAAGCGAGCGAGGGAGGGCAGGGAGTAATGCAAGGAGACCTAAGACAAGACCGTGATGGGACATGTGACGCAGACGCATGAGTGCAGGGTGACCTAGGCAGTGATGCCACAGCAGCGATGGGTGGGTGAGTGACCAACACGAGCAAGCCGCAGCAACCTGGGAGGACGCGGCAACCTGGGGGGGTGCTCCCACCAGAGGGGACGTGGTTTCTAAGGTGAACAGGCCAGACACGGGGTCTCGGCGGAACGTGGTGAGAGGGGCACCAGTGGTGGCCTCGGTATAGACTTCGTACCGCTCGTGTCTAGGGAACATAGTTGTGACGCCGAGGTCCTGAAGACAGCCGACACCAACTAGGTTCCTGGAGAACGAGGGGATATGCAGGCCTGTAAGAAAGCCCGAGAGAACCGCCAGACACGGAAGGGTAGTGGAGCTACGGGCAACTACCAGACTGGAGGGGGGATCAGCAAGCTCTACAGGGGCAGGGGCAGCAAGCGGCGTGAGCGCAGTGCGGTGCGCGAAAGAAGCAGGCAGACACACCAGAGTCTAGTGTAAACGAGAGCACAGCGGTAGCGGCCGCACGCGCAGGATCTAGGGTGGAGCCGAGGCTAAACAAGGCAGATGGTCCTACGCTTGACGTAGCAGGGGAACCTAGACTAGACATAGGGGACACACCTACAATAGGCAACACCGGGTAATAGGTTTCAGTCACACTAGAGTCATCAGCATACATGGTATACAGAGCATACCTAATCTGATCCATATCAAGCTCAAAAATAGGAACACGGCAACGCACCACGCTGTACCAGTAGGGGGGGGTCCGACGAGGGGCCGAAGCGGAGACAGAAGAGGTCGTCCATGCGGGGGTAGCAGCGGGCGGCAGTGTGCCCAGGACGGTCATAGACGGTGCCGTGGCGGGGGGCGGACTGAAGCTGGTACTGGCAGGTGACCACACTGGAGTTGCCACCCGACACCGAGCTGCGCGCCCCACCACTACGACCAACACCACCAGTGCCGCCAAGCCACCATGGCGGCGGGGGTCCCCACGACGTTTGCTGCTGCTGCGGCTGCGGAGGCTACTGCTACTGCTGCTGCGGAGGCTGCTACTGTTGCGGCTAAGGCTACTGCTACAGCTGCTCTGGGGCATCAGCCCCGGTCCCCTCATCTGCAGCACAATCCCACCCCCACCTACACCACCCCCACCACCCCCGCCAACCTTCCCTCCGCCATGCCCCCCCTTAGGGCGGCGGCCCTTACCCTGATGCTGCTGCGCTGAGGCCACAGCGGCGGTCTCAGCAGCATGGGTTGTCTCAGCGACAGTGGCAGAAATGTCAAAATAAGTGCACTGAGAGGAGGACAGCCCTGGAAGATAGGACCGCCGCAGTACTGCTGGAGTGAGCGATAGTGCACTGGCGGGTCTCTATCGCAAACAGGGCTGTGACGAAGGCGGTAAGGGTGAGGTCACCTGGGTGCTAACTAAGGAAGCGGTCGCGGGAAGTGGCTAGGTGGTCAGGAAGGCATGTGGCAATG